AATACTTTATACTAAAAAGAAAATACTGTGGAAAATTACCGTTGTAATGATCAATCAACAAAAGCGTCTGGTGAATTCAAAAATAAAAACGACAATTTTGATGATGTTTTAAAACAAAAACTACAATTTTGATGATGTTTTAAAACAAAAACTACAATTTTAATGATGTTTTAAAACAAAGAATACAATTTTGATGATGTTTTAAAACAAAAACTACAATTTTGATGATGTTTTAAAGCAAAAACTACAATTTTGTAATCAAATATTCCCATAAAAAAGCAAATTTGATGAGTAAAAAATAACTATTTCACGCATCATTGTCTTATGTTCGGAGGATATTGAACACATAAGCCATCGTAAATGACAAGTGATATTGTCAACCGTAAATGACAAGTAATATGTAAATGACAACTTATTATATTTATTTTTTAAACTATTAACCAAACTTGCTCTCTAAACAACCAAAAAACAAAGCAGAAAAAGTTAAAATCTATCTTAAAATATTCGTTTACACAATCTTTCTTTTTTTTTCTTCAAAAAATCAGTAACTATCTGAAAGCAAAATCAGCGAGGTGCATATAAAACTGCTCTTCAAACATTCCTCGCTTTTTCTCAATAAATAAAAATCGAGGCAAAGTCCCTGGTGCGTCTTTAACCAACGTAAATCTAACTTCAGCATGTTTACGTAAAGCAAGAAAAGCAAAGAAGTATAAAAAATAAAAAAAAGTTAAAACTAATAAAATCCCAGCAGGTATCTGCTGTTGGATAAAGTGAGCTCAAATCCACCCACGTTGAAGTGGGTGAAAATCAGTTCTTTTATCTCATCACATTTGTTAAAGTAGAAGTGTATTTGTTGTTAAAGTAGGGGTGCAATCAAGGCTGAATAATGAAAAGGGTGCTTGGCAGTTAAATTGAAAAACCACCTTCAAACGAAAAAGAAACGCCCAAAGGAAAGTGCTCTAATTCTTTTCACTTAATATATGGGATCGTGAAAATGAAAGATTCTGTCTGAATATATTTTATTTCGTCAAGAACGATTTTTTTTTTTTAAAGTTAGCATACAAGATTTACACTTTATGTATGTTTAGAGTATCTAATTGTTACAAAAAGAAAGGCGTGTTTTATGGTTATATTTGTTTCTAAGTGTTGCATTTATGCTTCATTGTTGCAATGCTGCTTTATTGTTGTTGTTTTTTCCAATGCCCACCTGTGTTAACATCTGTCAATTCAGGCATTTACAAGGCGATTTTGTAGGCCTCTCTTTCAGGGGCACCATATTAGGTAGGCCAACGTCGCTCCTGCAGTGAGAACAGATAGTACAGAGAAGGAAAGAACATCCATGCCTTGCCCGGGATCCGAACCCAGAGCCTTTCTAATGCAAGACAGTTCCCTGCCACTTACACAGGCCGGTCGGCATGTTGCTTTATTGTTGCATTGTTCATAGTTGCACTTTCGTACTCAGATATTATGTACATAAATAACAAGAAATTGAGCCGTGATGGCTCAGGGGATAGAGCGTTCTCCTTCCAATGAGGTAAACCGGGTTCGAATCCCAGCAATGGCTGGTCAATACGAATTCTGCATCCGGCCAGCACCGACCACAGTACTGACGTAAAATATCTTCAATGGTAGACGGATCACGGGTTGGGGTCCCCTTGCTGCCAGGATAACCGTGGGAGGTTCTCGTGGTCTTCTTCTCCATGTAACGCAAATGCTGGTTAGTTTAATCAAAAAAGTCCTCCATGAAGGCAAATTTCTTCCAAAGCTTTATCCAGGAGTTCCCTTGTCCTCTGGATCTAGTTCAAAATTACAAGGCTATGGAGTTGAACATCAGTAGTCGTAAACGCGAAATTGGGTCTACTGTTTACTAACGGTTATAAATAAATATCAAGAAATTAAATATTTCAGAGTTGGTATTTATCTGCTGTTTGTACAGACTTAGTTTGTACATGGTTTGTTTAGGAACACAGCTATGTGTCTATTTTTTCCCGATTTTGTACATTCAGAGGAAATACATTTCCCGTATTAAAAAAAGAGAAGGAATATGATAACGGCAACGCGTACTAAAATGTTGAACTTATGTTTTATTGTTGTAGGGGAGAGTCGGGTAGCTCNTTTTGTACATTCAGAGGAAATACATTTCCCGTATTAAAAAAAGAGAAGGAATATGATAACGGCAACGCGTACTAAAATGTTGAACTTATGTTTTATTGTTGTATATCACTTTCGGTCTTAAATACTATGTGCGCAAAAAACATGAAATGAATTAAATATATAAGAATTTATTCATATGTATTGGGTTGGTATTTTCATTTTGTATAAGTTTAGTTTAATAAAATCTTAAATGCCTCTTTTCATTTCTGCTTACGTACAGTTTCGTACAGTGCGCAAAATGTAAAGCACGTTGTGAAGGTGGAAATGTAGCAATTTACCAATAAATAAAACGTTTGATAACATTTTAGAAAACTCATTTAATAATAATCAAATACAATTGATGAGAAATAAAAAATGCTTTCAGTACTATTATTTGAAACTAGTTAAAAATTTCATAAATGTTAACTTATTTGTAGATAAAGTCAATAGATTTTCGGGTTTTATTAACGAAAGAGTAATATTTTCGTATTAACAAAAGAGTAATATTTTCGTTTAATTACGTTTTTTGACAAACTATTTCATAATAAACTTTTTTCTGAGATATTAATTGAACGAATGATTTATTGAGATATGCATCGAGTTTTTTTAAGATAAGTCAAAATACGGCAAATACGAACATCAATTAGAAAGTTGTGTAAAGCTATCCATAGTAATACAATTAGAAAGTTATGTAAAGCTATCCATAGTAAAACAAATACTAACTTAAATACTAACTTAAGCTTTCTTAATGAATAAAATCTATTATGACTATTTACATTGCTACTAATTACAATAAACGAATATTTTTGTAATTTAACAACAATATTATTTCATTACACTTTTTGTATGCTTAACACAACGAAGGAATTGTGTATATTTTGCGGATGTTTAGAAACATTTAGTACAAAACCCTAATCATGACCATATGCAATAATAACGAAGAAAGATTTGACCTTTTAATATGCATTGGTAAAGGACTTTAATTTTACATCTAAAATACAACGAACAAGTAATCAAACCAAAGCCTTTGAATTTTTTCCTCCTTTTTCAATATAAAAGAACTTATAATCTTTTCAAAGTAAGATGCATAATTCTTTATGTAAATATTATTCACACAGTGAAATTACAAGTCAACACCTGCTTGAAAACATCTGCCAGACATCTGTAAATATCGTTTAAAGTGTTGAGGGAAAAGTATAAAAGGAAGTAAAATAGTCACGATTTCGGGTATTTAAATTTACTCGTAACTTCATTCAACAATAGTACGTTGAAAAATAACTTGTTATTTTTCTTAATGGATTAGAAACCACACCCAGATAAATATTGATCATAAACAGTGATTACNATAATTTATATTTTCAAAGTATAAAAGAAAACGTAACACAATATCACAAGTGTATATATATATAGAATATCACTTTTCAGGTTTGGATAGCTTAAGGCCAAAGGGCCATTTGACCTTTCACCTATTTGGCCTCTGAAATAAAATTCTCATTTTTGTCATAAATCCTTGAACTGTATTTCTTTATCTTTAACAGACATTTTGTCACGAAATCACGTGATTTTTAATAAAATACGAATTTTCAAATACTTTATTTTATAACCGTCGTTGAACAGCCAACCTAATGTTCAGTTTACAACTACGAATATTCAACGCTGTAGCCTTGTAATTTTGAATCCAATCCAGAAGACAAGAGAACTCCAGGATCAAGTTTTGGGAGACTTTTTAAGGAAAATAACCCACATTTGCGTTACATGGAGAGGTACACCAAGAAAACTTCCCACGGATAGTCTGACAGCAGGAGGATTCTAACCTATGATCTTCAAAATAATATGCCATGTCAATGCACATTGTAAATTTTCTAGCATTTTCTTATCTAGTTTTAGAACTATTTTCTCCTTATGACAGGTTGATTTAGGAGCCATTGAACTCACTTGGCGAAAAGTGTCCCGGGTTCAACTCAATAAGTGTTCCGAGAATTCAATCGAGTTAACTCAAGGAGACTATGACTAAATTTTCATTCACGCATACTACATGTTGTATTTCCTGAACAATTGCATTAACCGATAAGTAACATTAAGCATAGTGCTTTTGATGAAATTCATATCCCTAAATAACAAAAATTCTAAATTATCCAGAGCTCGGTTTCGTAAAAAACAAAGGAAATTTCGTGCATTTTAAGCATGCATTTTTTAAATTGACTTTTAAAATCAATACTATACTCCGTCGCAAGTTAAGAAAAAACCATCATCCCTATGAAAAGAGCCTGTTTGCATCTAAGAGCACGCCAAATGGATGCCAGGCTCCTAGCACGAACATTTATCATCATCGCCAACTCTTGAAACAATGCTGCACAGCCTTCTTTTTGCTAAATTCAATTCAATATCGGTGTTTTCAAATCAAAAATTGCAAACGATAGAGGACAAAGAACAGTTACTAACAATAATAATCAATTAATTAATAAAAGAACAGATAATGTAATAGAAATTAATACAAATAATGTCCAAAAATCGTAACAAAAATGCGTCTGCGCATTTAAAAAAAGAGTGGATGAATCAATAATAAATATTGTTTCGTGCAAACGATTTTCTTCTACAGCGAAACAAACGTAAAAATTTCGAGCTTTATTTTGCGTTTGATTTGTTAAGAGCATGTCAGCAGAAGACACGCCATTTTTAATGGTCCAATCAAATCCAATGTTCTTGCAACGTCATATAGTTGTATAGTCAAAATATAGTCAATAGTCATAGACAAAAATAATGAAAATTTCGTACTTTTTGTGTTTGCAATTTTTTAATTTTTTTTTAATTCTTCGTTTATATTGTCAATATTCTTAGATTAATTTCTTTAATTCTTCTTATTTTAGGTTCTCCGGATTCATATCGATCTGATTCGTCTGATGATGACCATTCCTCTATATTTGATAGTGACAGAAATAATTCACCATATGTTGATGAATTTGATCTTAATCAAGGTATTTTATCTAAAAAATTCATAAACTTTTTTTACAAAGTTTTCATCGTCATGTTTTGATATTTTTTCTGCTAGATAATTCAATTAATCAGATTCCGAAATAAAACAATTTGTTACAGCACTTGTGAGCTGCGAAAAAATATTTTTTTTAAAATAGTATAAACAAAATTTATATTATTAATTATTTAATTTATCGAACGATTTTCACCTACTGTTAAGTAAATAAAAAGGAAAAACATTTGTAATTATACATGCGAAGAGCTACAGAAGTAATTACCAATAAATTATTAATTTATTGGAATAATTACCAATAAATTATTAATTTATTGGAATAATAACCAATAAATTATTAATTTTTGGAATAATTACCAATAAATTATTAATTTATTGGAATAATTATTAATAAATAAAACTTAAACCTCATTTAATAACAGTCAAATACAATTGAGGAGCAATAAAAATAAATTTCCTACTACTATTATTTGAAGGGTGACCAGAAATATTAACATATTTCTGATCAGTCTTTTAAATCATTATGATCAGCACTCAGTCCCTGAAAATTTGATTATTGGAACAAAAGTTATTCAAATGATAGCTTTTTTATTTTGAGCACTGTGCATACGATTTTATAATATACCAATTTTGGCAAAAGCCGCTCATTGAAAGAAATTCAAAGTTTATAATACAAATCTTCAGATTTTAGTTTGTAACGAAAAGAATTGTAAAATAAAGAGTGACATAATATAATATATCAATGACACAATATATACAAATAATCTTTCCAAATCTGCTTCTAACATTGAAAAATATTTTATACCATTTTACAATAAGCAGTTCATAATTTATATTTTCAAAGTATAAAAGAAAACGTAACACAATATCACAAGTGACACAAACTATATAAGTATACTTTTTATTTGTGCATCCAAGATTCTAAGATTAAGAAGAATTTGAAAATACTTTAAAATAAAAAATTCATAATTTATACCAATTTATACTTTCAGATGATAAGAGAAAAAGTGACACAATTAAACGAGTGACAGAATTAATATAATCTTACATTGAAAAGTATTTTACAATAAACTATTCATAATTTATGTGTTCATATGATAAAGGAAAAAGTGACACAATACATATTCATAAATTTTCTAAATGTGCTTCTATCATAGAAAGGTATTTGCCAATATTTTACAATGAATGATTCATAATTTATGCTTTCCGATAATACAAGAAAAAGTGACAATATATATACAGAGATAAATAAACCTTTTAATGTGCTTCTAACACTGAAAAGTAATTTACAATATTCTACAACAAACTACTCATAATTTATGAGTTCTGATCATAAAAGAAAAAGTGACACAGTATTTATCCGTGACATTCTACACATTTATAAAACTTTTAAATGTGCTTCTACCTTTGAAAAGTATTTGACTATATTTTACAATAAACGATTCATATTTTATACATTCAAAAGAAAAAAAAGAAAAAGTGACACAAAACTTAGATCACACAATTTATTATCCAGTTTCCCTCTAATGTAAAATTCAAACATCGAAGCCCCATTTACCTGTTCGGACCAATTTCATTCCATTTTACTTCTCTTTCACCATTTCCTTAAAAGAACAATTTTTTCCTTCCCAAACCGCAGTTGAATCGGAATTCCAGAAACAAAAACCAAAAAAGAATCGGAATTGAGAATCCTTCTGAAGTCATTTTTCATCCACCCTAACATTTGAGTCTCGCGAAAAACCAAGTATTTTAAGAAAACAGCCTCCAACATCTTCATTTATTTCTTCACATAGCCTACTTTAATCAATCAAAATAATGCATAGATTTATTTTATGCCTTCTTTTTAATAGAATCATTTATCTGCCCTCTTATAACCTTCCGCAGGTTACCGGAAATGACTGATGGTCTTCACTAGGAAGTCAAGGTCAAAACAAAATTTGTAATAAAACATCATGTGAACCGGCAAGATAATGGGTTTTTAATGGCTAAGGCGGAATCTGGGCTATTAATGGCGATTCAAAATGTCATTTTCCACCTCTTTTGCTTGTAACAGCTGTGCTTTTATACACAACTCGATAACGATGTTTTAACTGATTACGAAGTTTAATAAAGTTGCTTAAATAAAGTCAAGCCTGTAAATTACCATTGAAAAATGTCAATACGCTGTTTGTTTTACGTATTTGTATTTCTTGATTTAAAGCGATAAAAAGACTTTTAAAAAATTTGCTAGTTAAGTCAGAACTACTTCTGACTTAACAAGCAAATTTTTTGCTAGGTGTAAGCTGCTATGTGTAAGTTTGCTAGGTGTAGTGTATTACTCCACTTATTTTTTTTTGATACTACGCAACATATATACAGAAAAACCTTAAGTACTATCAACCATATTCGAAAACAGAATTCGTTTCACAATGAAAGTAAAATAACGTATAGAAAGTTCAAGTTTGAAAGTATGAGAGAGTGATTGCTTATGATACCGAAACGCAGACCTGAAAATAACCACTCGCCACATGACGAATCGAGAAAAAAAGTGGCGACTTAAATTGAGTAAGCTACTGGTCACTCCTTTCTGCTGATTTTTTTTCCAAAAAAATTGTTTAATAATAAAAGTAGGTCAATGCAGAAAGACTATAGAAAAATTTTAATTGTTGAATTAATTTTTTATAGCCAAAGATTGTTTCTAATTTGATTACTTTTTAAAAATGTAATTTAATCCAAACAACAAAAAATGGCTATTAAATGAAAAGGACCTATCGATATCAGTCACAGACTCATTGAGTTCAAGAAAAAACTGGCCACTTACTCTACCGGCCAGTGGCTACTAACTGAATATTTAAATTTTCAGGTCCACCGAAACGACCGTTAGCCTCTTTTAATTCCTTATTTTTACTTATGTTTTTTGTACCGTGTGACCCGAAATTGACCTATGAACTTTAAAAGAAAAAAAGGAAAACGCAAGTAGGTAAAAATGTGCGATATGCTGCTTTCTGCTCAGGAAACCAGATTTTATTCTCACTTAGTTTCAAAACTAGTTAATATTTTCTGCTGCATTCCGGAACATTTTAACTGAAATAATTGGAGGGGTGTCTGCAAATTTTTCCGTCGGACTGCGTTGTAAATTGTCCAATTCAACTCTTTTGCTACAAACAGAATTGTTTTGAAAATATAGATTTATTGTTCATTCCAATAATCTGCGCCACCTATTTACCAACCCGGTAACATATTTTGAAGCTTGGTGATAATAAACAATTTCATATTTTAAGCAAAACTTAGCGCTATCTTCTTCTTTTTTCTTTTCTTAGTTATTTTTTTAAAATTCTTGTTTATTCTACGAACAATTATACTATAGTGTACGTCAGGAAACTTAAACAGGTCATTAGGTTTTGCTAGCATTACTTGGAACATCTTTTCAGTTTTTTTCTCAAATACACTGCACTGTAAAAATAACTAAGTTCTGTAGGGAAAAAAAACACATTTCTCACAGAAAAAAACTGTTTAAAGATACTGATTATTTTCAGTTTTTAATCCGTTACTCGCTCGCTGCAAAAGATTCCCATTTTTTTTTTTTTTTTAATATATACAGACTTTTCTAGAAAGCATTTTTTTCTGTTTTTCTCCCTAATCATAAACGTATTTAAACTGTCAGTTGAAATTCCAGTTTTTGCCTCTGCAGTTTTGCCTACCGTAAGATAACTTAATCTTTTTGCAAATCATTTTATGATTGCTTTCTACACTTGCTCTTACTTTTCGGCAATCATTTTATGGTTTTGAACACCGTATAAATAAAGTGCGATTTGACTTTATTTTAAATTGATACTCTTCCTGATTATTAGCTGTCTTTAAATGTAATTTTTCGGTTAGTTAAATCGCCAGACATCTCTATAAGGATGGGTCGCTATTGTTTTGAACGATTTTGCATTTAAATATGATTTTAATAAGTAAGACTCTTAAGATGAAGGCAGTTTCTTCCTTACTAAAAACAAAAGCTGCAGTGACTCAGGCGACAGAATACTTGTCTCCTAATGAGGTGACCCGGGTTCAAATCTCAGTGTTGACTGCTCATAACAATTCTGCCACACAACGCTGACTGCTCATCACAATGCTGACAGAGTTATCTTATAGTCTTTTTTTTGTTAAAATAACAGTACTTATATGTTTAAAGAACAAGTGTCCGTTTTTAAATAACAGTATGATTCTGAAAAATCAGCAGTTTACACTAGCACACCGGCTGACAATTTTTTTTTCTGAAAATTTAAGAGATTTTCTTTTTAGAGTGTGGTTTTTGATGATCTTCAATTTTGTTTTATAACCATCGTTGAACAGATGACCTCATTTCGGGTTTACGACTACTAATGCTCAACTCCGCAGCCTTGTAATTTTGAACCTAAACCAGAAGACAAGGTAACTCCCGGATCAAGTATTGGGAGAAATTTGCCTTCATGGAGGACTTTTTGTTGGAACTAACCCGCATTTGCGTTACATGGAGAGGAAAACTATGACAACCTCCCGTGGTTAGCCCGACGGCAAGGGCACTCTAAACCATGATCCGTCTACTACTGAGGATATCCTGCGTCAGCACTGTGGTCGGTGCGAGCCGGGTGCGGAATTTGAATCATCCAGTTATCGTTGGGATCGAACCCGGGTCACCTCATTGGGAGTTGAGCGCTCTATCCCCTGAGCCATCACGCCTCGATGATGTTCAATTATTCCTTTCGTCTTCTTAATCTCGGTAATAGTAGGCAAAAATTTGAAGACGTTTTCTTCTTTTTCTAACTTAAATATTTATTTACGCCGACTAATATACATAATTTTTTACTTCATTTTTTTACCAAGATTGTAGAATGCAAATTAAAAACGTTCATTAGCGAAAACCTTTCTTTACATACAAATAAATACGAAATATTTGTTTAAAAAAAACTAAGCAAATTTCAAAATCCTAAATTTTTACTTCAAACATAACGTTAAACAATGCAAAATGGCAATGATAAGTTCCATTATTAAACTCAAAAACTGTACATAAAAAAATAAATATCCTTATCAATTATTTCCGGTGAAACATGAGACTATAATAAAATAATATACATGAGTTATCATTTTTCTTAAATTAACATTTCCTTTTGTTTCATTTTTTCGACAAAAGAAAGTGTTGTATTCTTTCGACGCTGGTAAATTGGTCTTATATGTTGCCGATTTCAAAACTGATTGAGATCAATTCGTTGACAATGAAAATAATTTCCTTTATTACCTTTCAATGTGTATTTCAAAGGAACATAATGATATGAATATCTGACATCGTGGCATATATTATTTTGTTTGATATGACCTATTGTTTTTAATGCTTCGATTGAAGAACCATCATTTAAAAGTAATTATCTTATAGATGTCATTTGATTTTTTTCATAAGGCTAAGAATTATTATTAATCTTTATTTTTCAACATTTTACAAACAAACATTTTTTTGCAAAATTAAATACGTCCTTTTGTTTTTTATGCTACTTTTAAGGAATAATTTTGTAGCTATGTTGTTGAAGTCATTTAATTTTTCAACAAAGTTAGAAACGACTTTTATTCCTTATTTTACAGTATTTTTTATTTATTTTAAGCAAAACATTAAATACATATTTAAAGTATGATGGAATAAGTTTTAAAAAAATCATTATACTGTTTTAAAGATTCTGTCATCTATCCGTTGTATTTTAGAATACCATAAGCTTAACACCTCGGAAACAAACTCACAACGAGTATAAGACAGAATAAAATTCGAAGTATTTCTTTTAGCATCGATATAATTAATTATACATTAGTAGAATCCATTTCCGATCCAATTTTAATTCTTTATTTTACAGTATTTTTTATTTATTTCTAGCGAAACAATAAATACATATTTAAAGTATGATAATATAAATTTTAAAAAAATATTTTTACTGGTTTAAAGATTCTGTTATCGATCTGATGTATTTAATAATACTATGAGCTTAACACCTTAGAAAGACTCACAACGAGTATAAGACAGAATAAAATTCGAAGCATTTCTTTTAGCATCGATATAATTAATTATACATTAGTAGAATCCATTTCCGATCCGATTTTAATTCTTTATTTTACAGTATATTTTATTTATTTTAAACAAAACATTAAATATATAATTAAAGTATGATAATATAAATTTTGAAAAATCATTTTACTGGATTGAAGATTCTGTTATCGAACTGTTCTATTTAAGAATTCCATGAGCATAACACCTCAGAAAGAGACTCATAACGAGCATAAGATAGGATAAAACTCAAAGTATTTCTTTTAGCATCAATATAATTATACATTTGTAAAATCTATTTCATATTAAGTACAGCCTTTATAAATTCCAAATTAGCATCGAAGTGAAAAAATACTAAAGTGCTATCAAAATCTCACAAATCATTATGAAAGTCAGTCCGTAAACCATCATCAAGACGAGATCAGTTTGAAAGTCAAATGAATCTGAAAGACACATCTCATAATCACTTCTTTATGACAATCAAATCAGTTTTGTTGGTTTTAATCACAATTCCATTGCAAATCACCTCGATGATAATACATCCGATTATTTTTTTACTTTTTTATTTAGAAATTATCAGTTTTTAGAAGACATTGTTTACCATTTTTTAGTCCTCAGTGTCTGGTAAACTTTGTAACTATTTCTGAAATTTAGGGTTAATGCAATGGACTGAGCGTAAGGACATCGCTCCCAGTAGAACACCGAAGTCAAGCATCACTGGCTGCAGTCACTAAGCGGGTGGGTGACCACTTTGATCAGCCTGCGTATGGATCGAGAGTGCGTGGTATGGGTCCTCGTTAAACGTTTCCACCGTTAAGTGTTCGGCTTCGAGAGCAGGTCATTGGGCTACCAAAGCAGGGGAATCATCCCCTCTACAGAAGAACAAAATTGTGATGGCATGTCTTCGGATCATCCCCAGGGATGTTTCTCAGACCGTGGCGAATAGCCTATTATGTGCAGCTCTAATGTGAAGTAAATAAAGTACCTACCAATATGAAATTTATAGAAAATGAAACCTCTGGTTTCCTAAGTGGAAGGCAGCAAACTGGCTACTTTTATCTCCTATTTTACTTCTTCTTTCTTTTTTGAAATAATTGATCAATTTTGGAATACACAGTAAAACAACTCTGAATGAATTTGCTTAAATCCTTTTTTTATTTTCAGGTAAACCTCACTTCACTCAAACATCTAAAGCTAAAAATTTCGTACTTGTGGGAAGCTCTATTCCTTTAAGATGTATCGCTAAAGGTGATCCTAGACCACAAATATCATGGTTAAAAAACGGTAAACCACTACCAGATTCCAACTTACCCTCCAGTTCTAACAGAGGTCATTGGATTTTACACTTGCAAAATCTCCAAGCCTCTGATACTGGAAATTACACCTGCGTTGCTCAAAATATTATAGGAGCAGCCAAAGCTGATTTCCAAGTTAAAGTTATAGGTAAGTGTTAAAAATTTTTTTATTGTATTGTGATTGGGTTCAAAATTACAAGGCTAAGAGTTGAACAATAGTAGTTGCAAACCCCAAAAATTGGGTCGGCTGTTCAACGACGGTTATATATTTTAAAAAATGGAGACATACATTTATTTCTGTCACTCCTAAAACAGAGATGCCAACTTGCTCCGGACTGCAAATATATATTTTAAAGTGGTAGTTTATCAATTGTGATTCTTGATTTAATAAATTCTATTTAGTAGATTTTTATCCACCACTATTTCCAATTAATTCGCAAGCTTATATAATTCACCACTTTAATGTAGTTATGTCATGCTATACCTTTTAAAAAGCAAGCAAAAATAGTCAAATATTTGCAAACCTTAGTTTGTAGTTATTTACCGTTTTTTTAATTATTATGGCGAGTACGGAGCAGTTGGCATCGCTGCTAAAACCAAAAACGTGGAATGCATCACTTTCTTAATATATTTCTATCATTACCTAATATTTTCCACGTTTAACTTTATTTTTGGTGAGACAAAAATTTTAATTTATTTCCTATAGTCTTGTTGAAAAGAGCTTTTCCTTCAAAAAATATTTTAAGCACACGTTCAATTTGAAAAATAAAACAACTGAAAAGTATTAAGTTACGAAACTAATTGAGTTCAAGTTTAAATACAAAATCATTCGTTTCGAGTTTCAGAACCTAATTCTTTTCGTAAAAAAATATTCCTTCAATAATAAGGTACATTCGATCTTCTTCCCTATCTAAGAAAACATGTAGAACATTTTCCGGATGTTGTTCAATTACTTGAAACAAATATCAAATTTCTTCGAAACTTCTTCATTAAATAGAAATAAGATTAAGAAATATATTTTAAAAGAGCTTTTTAAGTTCTCAACCCATTTTCAACTAATTTGAAATTGCTTAAAATAATAAGAAATTTTTTGAAAAGTTTGTGAATTAACATCTGTTTAATGGAACTTAATATTTTTTCAATTATCTTTTAGAAATATAAGTTTTTATTATAAATGCGGACGTGTTAGGTATTTTTATAACTTTATCATTTGTCTTTTCCCTATCTTAGAACATAAGCTAATTCTAAATTAATGACATTACTGATGAAAAGGTATGGTAGTAAAACTAGTTCAAAATAAAACTCATAAATATATGAAAGTCTGGTGGCAACACTTCATAAAATCCAGTTAACTGTTAGACTACTTAAAATAATTAGTTTGCGCCTTCGCGTTCAAAGTAATTACAACTTACATTACAATATTTGTTTGCTTAAATTTATTCTGCCATAAAAGTCCGCAAGAAGTGTCAAATGCTCACGAATTGCAGTTGAATAGCTAAATTAAAATGATTTTGTAATGCCTCTATGGTGACATTACGATGGACGTAAATTTGAAGTGGAACTGAAATCAAATGACATTATTTAAGGAAGGCAGACAGAATCTAGAACGGAAGAGTTAGAAACATTCTGTGATTCAGTTAGAAGTCAGCGTCATAAAATAATCAGGAAACGAAAACACACGACAGTATATTCATTGGATTAACTAGGAATCGAATCTACTAAAGTTGCCCAAGGCTGTCTTGTACATAGGGGAGACTCCCACTCTTTCCCCCAATCTGGGCCACAACTGGGACCAACTACTGTTTGCCAAGCCTTGAAATTTTGGCTTCGTCCTAAGGAAGATTTCATTAATTAATGAAAGCCCACGTTTTCTGTGGTCGGAAAATCGAGATAGAGGAGGCGCCTTGCTAACTCTGAATGAGAATAAATATCTGCCAAGGCGGGCTATTCAACTTCATTAACGTAACGTTCATCTCTATGGGAGCCAATTCCTTTGAATTGGCGACACTTGTCTCGATTAAGACGTTCGCCAAAAGTTTAGACAAAGTTTTGAGGTAGAAAATTGAGATGACGTGAAATATTTGAAATGATTTGTACTGTCCTTTCAAGTAATCAAGCAAGATTAAATATCGTAGGATGTTAATCAAAGCTGTAGCTTATTTATTCACAAGACAGGGTATGTTTGAAACATGCCAAGTCAGCAATGCTAAGCTTTAAAAATGTAAAAATTATTTTTAAAACCTATTTAGAATATCACAAAAATTTTAATTTCAATTTAGAATGTTTAGGAATGTTCAATGCGGAATCACGCAAAATAAAACAATATTTAATAATGAATTTTTGAATATTTTTATGATTAAAAAAATTATTTAACATAGTTTAAGTACATAATCTGAAATTTAGTTCGAAAATGTTTTTTCTTTCTTTTATGCATTGTTAACAATAATTTCTTATTTTATCGCAGTCAATTATTTTCGTCTGGAATATACATTATCCTACAGTAATGGAGGAGACGCTTTCAGTTTTTGATTCTTTTTTTTAATTTAATTTCTTAAGAAATAGTTAGAGAACTATTTTACAAATTTAGAAGAATTTAGTTAATACAATTTTTCATACTTTGCAATAAAGTTTAAAGATTTCAGAGGTTTGAGAGAACGACAATAAGCTTATAAGTTGTATTGATTACTTTGGTTGTTATTGTTATTTCTATAACTGCATAACATTTTGTTTTCGTCTATCTTAATTTTTTTTTTTTCGTTGGTATGAACATTTTTATAAAAAATGTCTTTATTTGTCTCATGTTTTTATGTTTTATGTGTTTAAAAATGAGACTGGTGCATTGTGGGGAAACCCCCCCCCCCCATAAAAAAATGTTTTCTTTTACATGTTTTCCTTCTCTATACCATCAAAGTTTAGTTTCCGGAGGATTATTGCTAGGTATTATGATTTGTCATTAAATTTTGTCTCGTGATACAAAATAAAATTTGTGCGTTTAGCTTCTTTTCTTTTGAAAAATACAACAACTACGTAAAAAATGGAGAAATGCAGACTACTTAGAAAACTAGTTTCGTTTTTAATATTTGTGCTCATTTCATTTTGTCTACCACATAATATAATATTTTATAATATAACTTTTATTTTAAGCTTTTTTAAAATGTCGAGCAAAAGCTCTGCTATTTAAGAGGAAGTTAAGAAAGAAAAGCAACAGTGTGAAATCGTCCGTTTGCTTTCTACACAATCGCTGTAAGCAAAAGTCTGAACTCACTAAAGCAATCGCTTCGGCGGAAATAAGATAGATTAAAGGTAAAAGACTTGCGACCCATTGCTGAAAATTTCAATAAGTTTTTGAACCTCTTCATCGCTAAAAAGGTGGCCAATTTTAAGCCAATTAAATTTATATATTAGAAAAAATCTCTTAATACTTGTAATATTTTGTTAATTTATTTCTTTTTAATAAAATTATTTATTATTTATTTTATTTATATTTGAAATTATTTTCTTTTTAATGGAATTTTTTTGCTAAGGAAACCCTACATTTTATTTTTCAAAAAAGAAAAAAAAAGTTTTAAATTATTCAATTTTATCGAAGCCATTACCTATGCCTTTCATTTACTTAAACAAAACAGTTTTGATTATTTTAATTTTATTTATATACTGATTGACCTTGATAATGATTCATCAGATAATGAGTAAACAAATTTTTGCTTTTTTTTCACTTTACAATTTTGTATTCCTTTCTTTGACCTTATTCTTTGCAAGGATTCTTAAAATGTACAGAAATATCGGTAATTACAGAACAGTTCTTATGTGTCAAAAATTTCCATGATTATACCTATGGAAATCTTTTTCTAATTAAATATAAGCAAACAAGAAATATATTTTTTATTTACAAATGAATAACAGATATTAATTAATATTTCATTTATAATTTCTATTTTTGTAATAGATCGAGTACGGACAAAATCAGAATTTATACACGGTTATCCATTAAATATGACTGTCTTATACCTATACCTATATATTATACCTATACCTATAGAAATCTTTTTCTAATTAAATATAAGCAAACAAAAAATATATTTTTTATTTACAAATGAATAACAGATAGTAATTAATATTTCATTTATAATTTCTATTTTTGTAATAGATCGAGTACGGACAAAACCTGAATTTATACACGGTTATCCATCAAATATGACTGCCCTATACCTATATATTATACCTATTATACCTGTACCTATAGAAATCTTTTTCTAATTAAATATAAGCAAACAAAAAATTTATATTTTTTTTTGCAAATGAATAACAGATATTAATTAATATTTCATTTATAATTTCTATTTCTGTAATAGATCGAGTACGGACAAAACCAGAATTTATACACGGTTATCCATTAAATATGACTGTCCTATACCTATATATTATACCTATACCTGTAGAAATCCTTTTCTAATTAAATATAAGCAAACAAAAAATATATTTTTTATTTACAAATGAATAACAGATATTAATTAATATTTCATTTATAATTTCTATTTTTGTAATAGATCGAGTGCGGACAAAACCAGAATTTATACACGGTTATCCTTCAAATATGACTGCCCGTGCTGGTGAAACTACTGCCCTCCAATGTATCTTATCGAGCGACATTCCTCCTAATGTACAGGTAAGCATTTATTTGATTTGCAGTGTTTCTTTCCATGCAATGATTTACCTAAAGTGGGTATTTAAGACCTAGGATTAGCCTAAGATGTTAATACACTTTCAAAAGACTATTTACTTACATGCATACGCCTCACAAAAATGGCTGATGTAAGATAAGTTACATGCATTCACGAAGTTTCTGATTCAAACTATAAATAATCAATGTTCGCACCCATGGTCATTCACTTCCTAATTCTGAGTTTAAAACTATAAATTTGCCCACCGTTGGGGATCGAACCCCAGCTCTCCACAATGATAGCTCAGTTATAATGAAATATATGACTTTAAACTATGTCTTCTACTGCGTTACAATCTTTTACAAACCAAAGCAATATCTCCTAGCTTTCTTCCATCTGACTTAATCTTGCATACTATTTCTCTAATGAATTGTCAGAATAATAAATTGCTATATTTCTAAGCTTTGAAAATATTTAATAGCTAAAATATAGCACTTCCCTGAAAATTTGCTGAAACTATTCCAAATTTTTTTTCTGACAAAGCTGTGTTTTTTCAAATTGCAAAAAAAAAATTTAAAGTCAAATAGAAAAAGAAAAATTATGTTTAAAATTCGTGGAAGGATTATGATCAAAACGTTTTTTGTATATTTAGTAATTAAAAGCTTGGAGCAATATAATGATTCGCCACACTTTTTACAAAGGTGACATTTTCACATCGAAATGTTTTTTACTACCATCGCTTTACCGTTATTCAGAAGTTCCTCTCGATAACAGGACAGTGAAACATATTTTCCCCATCAGGGAAATACGGGTGTTTTTCATCAAATAAGCTCTTTAAAAAACGCTCTCGTGTACAATTTGAAAATGTGGCTATTATAATATTTTCCCAAATCATTCAATTGTAAATTTTTATTTAAAAAAAATTAAAGCTTACTTATTTACCAAATTGATTTCACTGATAAACAAATTTTTTTTACAACTATACAAATACTTGATTTTGCCAAATTCAGGTGTGGGGATTTTAAATCAGTTTCATTTCTGAAGCTGCAGATTTTTTTAATTACATAATTAGTCAATTTCTCTTAAAAATGTACAAGTTTAAAAACGTTATATACAACAGAGGGTCTCGTAAACGTTGCGCTAAACTTTTAAGGAAGTCAGAGCATATTATCAGGATTGAACTTGCATAAGAAACCCTGCCTGGAAATGTGGTAGTACGCGGCTAGATGCACAATCACTATTATGAACTATTTAGAAGCACACAACGAAACAGTTCATAATAGGGAAGCGCCCCTAGTGGTGTATGACGATATTTCTGGGCATAGGTTCCCATGCCATTTTAATTTTAATTATGTGTTATGACTTCTCTAGAAGTTTGTCGTAATATTTACGCAATTCCTTGTTATATATTACGTATTTAAACTTGTACGTTTCGTCAAAAAGTTGACTGAAAATGTCATTTAAAATAAACTGTAGCCTTGAGGGAAAGACAGATTGCAGATTTTAAAGCAACGATACGAGAGTATATGAGTGTATGTTAAAAAAAATCTCATGCAACAGAAAAAAAAAAAATTGTTTCTGAGTGTTATTAAAAAAAAAAATTCTAAAGTTAAAGTTGAATAAACAAAATGATTTTCTTCTAAAATATTTGTTATTGTCAGAAAAATTTCTTTTTCAAGTTATCTTTAAATCTTAACTAATCCCTCTTTTAAAAGTGACTTAAAATCCTTTAGAACAGCTTATAATTTACAGCTAATAACAGTTGCCATTTTATTTCTCATAAATTAATGCATGTCTAACTCTAACACTATTTTTTTTCTAGTGGTTAAAACAAATACATTCCAATGAAGGTCTATCAGATCACAGTTCTCAAACAGTTAAGCTCTTGGGAGAATTCTACACAATTCTCAAATCCAGTGAAATCATCTCACGTATAGATGGCGCTTATTTAAGCAGACTTATTTTTAAGTCAGTTAAAGAAAGTGATGAAGGAAAATATATATGCTTGGGAGCTAACGCCATGGGATTCAGCTCCCAGAGTGCCTTCCTTAAAGTTTTGCCAAGTAAGTCAAAAAAACTATTTCTTCATTCTCATAAATAATCATTCCAAAAAAGGGATTACTGGTATAAATAATGAGTATAACTATTTATTTCTGCAATATTTGGATAAGGAATGTTTTTTATTAATCGGAAAGAAGTATTTTGCTTGTTTTGAAGATCTCATATCTATTATTATTAGCTCGGTTGTTTTCAGAGATAGATTTTATTTATTTATTTATTTATTTCTGTGTATGCATTTTAGAGAGAAGGGAAGATATTAGTTTCAAAGTCGTTATTATTATTAGCTCGGTTATTTTTAGAAATAGTTTTTACTTTTACTTTCATTTTTTATTTTTTTCTACATATGTGTTTTAGAGAGAGGCAAAGAGATTATTTTTGAAAATTATTATTATCTCAGTTGTTTTTATAGATAGTTTTTATTTAAATATTTAATTTTATTTTTTTTTAATATTTTTTTCATGTATGTGTGTTAGAGGGAGGAAAAGAGGTTATTTTCGAACTCATTATTTCACTTGTATTAGTACGTTAATTTATTTTTTGTATTTATTTTCTTCTTTTTCAAAATTGAGAGTGGTTTACCTTTTCAAAGCTATTATAAGAAAAGTCTAAGAAAAAAATAATTGTTTAGTATACGAAACATTTTTGTGCAAAAAATGTTTAGTATAAAACTGTTTAGTGTTCGAAAAAAATATTTATTTTGGTTTTTAATCTAATGTTTAAAAAAACGTTCGAATCAGTTCTCTAATTTGGTTAAATTCTTTGCGTACATTACAATTTTGATACTCCCCTGCTTTGGATGGCTCCCGACGATGGCTTTGGTATCCCGACGACCTAAGCACGAAGTCGAGCACTTTACGGTAGAACAGTTTAACTTGGACCGATACCATGCACCCTAGGCCCCTACGCAAGCTGATCAAAGTAGTCATCCACCCGTTTACTAACAGTAGCCAGTGACGTAAACATTTCATGTAGACTCAAATTTTCTACAAAAGGTACTGCTACTTCTTTTACAGGATCATCTTCCACTACATTCAGTCAAAGTGGATTTTTCTTACCATTTATGGTTCTTTTTCTTTCTTTCTTTTTTCTTTCTTTCTTTTTTCTCTCTTTCTTCTTTTTATTGTTTTCCGCTGTAACTGTTCATAATCTGCCGTTAGAAATTTTAAAAAAACCATTTCATGTAGACTTAAAATTTTTCCAAAATGTACTACTACTTCTTTTACAAGATCATCTTCCACTACATTCAGTCAAAGTGAATTTTTCTTACCAATTATGATTCGTTTTCTTTCTTTCTTTCTTTCCTTTTCTTTTTTTTTCTTTCTTCTTTTTAATGTTTTCTGCTGTAACTGTTCACAATCTGCCGTTAGAAAATTAAAAAAACATTTCATGTAGATTTAAAATTTCTACAAAATGTATTTCTTTTTCAGGATCATCTTCCACTACATTCAGTGAAAGTGAATTTTTCTTACCAATTATGATTCGTTTTCTTTCTTTCTTTCCTTTTCTTTTTTTTTCTTTCTTCTTTTTAATGTTTTCTGCTGAAACTGTTCATAATCTGCCGTTAGAAATTTTAAAAAAACCATTTCATGTAGACTTAAAATTTTTCCAAAATGTACTACTACTTCTTTTACAAGATCATCTTCCACTACATTCAGTCAAAGTGAATTTTTCTTACCAATTATGATTCGTTTTCTTTCTTTCTTTTCTTTTCTTTTTTTTCTTTCTTCTTTTTAATGTTTTCTGCTGTAACTGTTCACAATCTGCCGTTAGAAAATTAAAAAAAACATTTCATGCAGATTTAAAATTTCTACAAAATGTACTTCTTTTATAGGATCATCTTCCACTACATTCAGTCAAAGTGAATTTTTCTTACCAATTATGATTCGTTTTCTTTCTTTCTTTTCTTTTCTTTTTTTTTCTTTCTTCTTTTTAATGTTTTCTGCTGTAACTGTTCACAATCTGCCGTTAGAAAATTAAAAAAACATTTCATGTAGATTTAAAATTTCTACAAAATGTACTTCTTTTACAGGATCATCTTCCACTACATTCAGTCAAAGTGGATTTTTCTTACCATTTCCATTACTTGTTGGAGTCATCATCAGCGGTGCCATTATCTTAGCAGGACTATTAGGTGTATTCCTTTACTGCCGGACCCGCAAATACTCTTCAGCTGCTTCAAGAGACATGTCCTCAGCTGCTACAAATACTACCAGTAGCTCATCGTCAAAAACTGGAAGCAGTGGCACAACCGAACGTAAGCATTCATATGTTGGTATGACCTATAAACCACCTCTATCAAATGTCAGAGATGACCTTGGAGTGCCGTCCCCATCAAGAATTTATATAGCTCCTGGACAGTTACACAGGACAGTGCCACTCAATGGCATACTTATATGAAACTGATGTAAAAAATAATTCGTTGTTTTGCGTTGTAGGTATTTGTTTTTGTGGACTTAGTCCAAAATGTTGCAGTCTCGTTCGAGGTTGAACTGTTCGCGACGGGCAGATGCAATCAAAACTTTGTAAATTATTATCATGTATCATATCAAATCATTAAGAAAGTGTTATAATGTAACGATTTTAAACCCTGAGTGAGATTTTGAACGTGTTGCTCCTCTTTTTTGTAAAACTTGACGTATAAGAATGAGGGACGATTTGTTCTGTGCCCTATGTAAAAAAATAGGTAGTTTGAAGATTCGCTTCCTTATCCCGTTTCATTTTGTTTGTTCTTTTCTCCAATGCTAATTAAAATAATTTTCAACGGTAAAACAGCAATTTGTTACAGATAAAATGGCAGAAAAAATGTAATACTGTTTGGGTATTTTAAAGACAAACTCGAGTTGCTTGTTTTTTTTCTCCAATGTTAATTAAGTTAATTTTCAACGGTAAAACAGTAATTTGTTACAGATAAAAATGGCAGAAAAAATGTAATACTGTTTGAGCATTTCAAAGACAAACTCAAGTAATGTAATTAAAAGCTGAAAATAAGAGAATAACTTATTTTGGGTGTAACATCACAAAAAATTAAGCAGATTTTTGTTTTAAAATACCACCTAATTACTAATACGAGGTGGGTTTAGCCTTCGAAGTAATTATCCTTCACCCACTACCTTAATTGAAGAGTTAAGTGGATGAAGGTTCAATTAGTGAATGTCAGTAAATTAGAGTTAAAGTTTATGAGTTGACAATAGAAAATAAAGATCATCACATTTAACATAACAGCCTGGGGTGGACTTTGGCCATCTCCACGCAGTTTTTTTCTTGTCGCTAGATCTTGTCAGTTCAATACCTTAGTCTTATGGTCAAGTTAACGGGGTCCAGCCATAAAATTTTTGACATCCTTTAACTCTACTATTAGTTAGTTTATGTTTGAAAATATTATAGTAAAGATTATACTTTCCCTTTATTTCTTGTCCCCAAGCTTTTAATTGGCAACGTCTGTAAATTCCTAACTCTCATTGAACTTATTTGCATCCTTGCGCTTTAATTAACTGGTGAAAGGCGTGTTAATTATTTGCTAAAGCAGCCTTAACTAATTTTTTTTTTAAATTAAGTAATAGTACTTTATTTACGTCTCATTAAAGCTGCACAATGAGCTATAGGCGACGGTTGGGAAACATTTCTGAGGGTTGCCCAAAGACATCCTATCACAAATTTTATTCTCTGCAGGAGGGATGGCTTCCTTCCCTTTAAGAGTTCAACGAACTGCCCTTTTCACGGTAAAACAGCTTAACAAGAACCGATACCGTGCTCCATAGGTCCCTTCGCAGGTTGATTAAAATTATTCACCCATCCGCTCATTAACCACTACCAGCGATGCTTGACTTCGATGATCTACTGGGCACCGTGTCCTAAAACAAACTAAACTAAGATGTTTCCAAAAAAAGAAAAATCTAAATTTTTACAAAAATTTTACTTCTTCCATGAAACTTTTCAATTGCACAGACTATACAGAGGAGCCTATTTGTTTTACATAGAGTAAAAGGAAGTGCAATGTTTGTCGTTTATAAAAGCTTACGTTCAATGCAGAGAGATTTTATATATAAATATTTAAGTATACATAATGTAATAAACCACTGCCTAACTAATGTTAGTAAATACTTGTCTGTAAGAACAAAAATAGTTTTATTTTAAGTTTGTAGGTCACAAGCCTAACTCGGCAGAGCCGATATGTTGAAATAAAACATAACTTATCTTGTAATTATCTTGTGATGATTGTTGTATTTGCGTTGAACCGCAATCCGTATTGTGCTCAAAAATGTTAAGTGTTATTAAATGCTTGAGTTTTGCGTCCCTGTCTGGAATATTTTGTCAACAAACTTTAAAAAAAAAATTACAGAGTGAATGTTTGAAACTAGTCCAGACATAAAGTTATATGTACTTAATATATGTTTTTTTTTTCCATTTTTGTAACTTATTTATATACTTTACGTATTATTTTACAATCGAAATTTTCTACTATTGTATAGAACACTTTTCTATGAACAAATTGCCATATGAACTCAAGAAATAAATTTGTTTTATTAACTGTCTTTTACGATGTTGTATTTGTAAAACTTAACATATTTGTAAAATATATTAAATAAAAAGGATTAGAAAGTTTGTGTAAAAAATAAAGAAAAATGCAATGTTAATTCTAATTTATTTGTTATTTTTTTCCTTTTTAATACCGTGTTCGTCTTTAACACAATCATATAAAATTAAGTTCAAAAATGAGATTTTTTAGGAAAATTTTGTTCCAGCAATTTTTATCAAATTGGGAGTCATTTTATCACGATATTATTACTTTATCTGCACAATTGCTTCATAGGTGGCAGCACAAAGCAAGTAATTTGATTTTACAATTGATAAAAATATTTGAAACATGAGGATAAAATATCTCTTTAGGTATAAAGCAGATTTTAACTCTTTATTGACCGAATGAATTGCGCTTTAATATGAGTTATCCATTGTGTATAATTTAACAGCTACAACTAACTATTACCAAATGGGGAGAACTCCCTAAACGGTCGACACAGTAAAAATTCAATTTTATCAAAATCATGCAAAAAAACTAATTATTCTTTTAAAAATACATGTATCATAATCGCAAATTTAAACTTTGTAAAACTGTTAAATACATCATTTATACGGACAATCTATGATAAAAGTTATAAATTTAAAATGAAAAATAAATTTTTAAATGAACTTCATGTAGACAATAAACATACTTGCTTTAATAATTTAGTGCAGTTTTATGTTCAATGTTGTATTTATAATCCTCCATCTACTGTTAAATAGTATGGTGTAGATATCGTTAAATATTTGCGATGTTCTTGAATTTTTTAAATGCAATTCCGTCTTGTTCTAAAAAAGTGATATGGTTTTGTAGATGTATTTTGTTCTTATGTTTTGCTAATAAAGTTTTTCAAGCTGACTTATTTTATATATGCTGACTCATTTTATGTCTGCTTATTTGTTTCATCTATGCCAAGGTAAAATTTGTCATTGTATTGGGTTCATTTAAAGAAGAAAAAAACTTTACTCAAAATACTACAAATGACAAATTTAAATTAGCTAAAAACATTATAAAAAAAGTTATTAGGAAGAGAGCAAAGAGATTTCGAGAATATCTTTTAATGGAATAAGATGACATCAAAAATATATCTTCTCTCGTTAATCATTAAAAATTTAAAGATTCTAGTTGGTTTTGATTTCATAGAGAAAACATTATTTTACAACTTTTCTCAGCTTTCTGTAACTTATCCAAAATTCAGCTAAGGATATTGAATTTTTTACTGGAATTTAACAAAAGCATAAGCACTGACATTATTTAAATGAAAACCTTTTTCGAAACAATGATAAAATCTTTTATAATTTAAGTTTCTTTAGAGTTAAAGTTTGAGGATACAAAAATACCTTAACATCTAACGCGCATGATATAAGTCATCAAAATCATTTTAGTGACCTAATACAACTTCTAACAAGCAGTCAAATATATTAAAACTATTTAAAACTATTCAAGCACAAATAAATTACAAAATTAAAAAGTATTTCTTAAATTTAGAAAAAAAATAATTAGTTTATTGAATTTTTATCAAAAAAGACAGAAATTTATATTACGCAAAAAAAGTTATAAAATGCTTACCAATATTAAGAAATACTAGTATAAATTTAAGTAACATGCTATACTCAAATCTATTACCAAGGTTTTACTTAATAGGTTAATTAGAAGTTGAGAAATCTTGAGAGTAACTTGAAAAATTTGAATTGAGAAAAAAAAAAATTTAAGACATAATTATCACAGAAATAAAACAGACGTTCGGGGTTCGTATCACAGAAATAGGAATGATTGCTCCGTTGTCTTTTGGAGATCGAACTCTAAACGCCTCACAGAACCACCGAACACTTAACGTCTGTTGACTATTTTGGAAAGTGAAACTGTGAATTTCTATCCAGCGAAAGAGATTAAATAATGGTTGTTCGTAAAATTAAACATCAACGCGAACAATCTGGGTTAAAGCTGACAGCAATAACGAATCTAGTTTAATTCGCTTCTATGTTCCTCTAATACCGTGATTGCAATGCTAATCTCCCGCTGTCATAAATTAAGATAACCTTCAAGGTAACAGGAAGGATTTTAACTGCATTTTTTATGAGAATTTCAAGAGCAATAATAATTTTTAGGAATTGATTAACATTAAAAAATAAAAATTCAAAAGTAAATATTTCCCTTTTAGTTAGATTTTATATACTTTATTAAATATTGTAATCGAAAGTATTGTATAAACATGCAAGTATAAGTTCATTCTTATTTTTTTCAACTACTTTTATTTTGAAATTATGTTTTTCACTTCTCCGATTCCTTCTGCAACTACTACAGATAAATCATTTTGCAGTCGTACACTGTAAAACAATCCAGATCTAATTACAGTAAAAGGCACTGACACCCTGACTCTAATATCCATACAATTTATTTTCCGTAAAATCCCTTTTCATCGCAAAATTTCATACCGCATTTTTATAGTAAAATTTATACAATTACAGTGATTTAGTAATTTTACTGTAAATATTATCGCAAAAATTACTGAAAAAATTGCGGCAAATCAATTTTATTGTTACATAAGATTTTACAGTAACACGTACTGGCACTCAGGATGCCAGAGAACCAAAAAAGGCAAGATTTAGAACCAAAAAAAGCCAGATTTCCCGATGAGATAAAAGAAACTGATAATTAAATTAACATAGGTGAAGAATATTTTAATTTTATTTTATCTTCCATATACTTGACATCATAGGTTTGACTTACTTTTACGCGAACATTAAAGAGTATAAGTATTGTTTTTATAAGTATTAATTTCACTTAGTCCCTTAGTATAGTGTTCATAATGATCTCAATAAGAGATAGTCTAAAATAACGGAGTGAATAAAATTTTATTTTTTAAAAGTTAAAAATCTAATTTTTCAAAACAATTTAGCTAATACAATTTTATTTTAATTCACAAAATTATTATCAAGGTTATATCTGTTGAATCTCATAACATTCGTGTAAAAAAAGGCCAATTTCTTTAACCAATTACTATAATACTTAACTAACCAATTACTATAGCTTTATTTTGATTGCCACACATTTATAAATAGGAAATAAAAGCATTATAGCAATCGTATATATTTTTGTTATTTTCATAAATTTACAGCCCCTGTTAAGATTTTAGTATAAAGACGTTTTCAAGACTATGAAAGAATAATTCTACTTTAAATCTTTAATATTTCCTAAGGAAACTACAAAACTAATGGCGGATTTGGTTGAAAACAAACTAAATCTTCACATCAGCTCGTTTTTTTTTCTTTACACATTCCGATGGAAAGTAAGGACGAATTTTTTCAAATCATAATTTCTTCGTATCATCTTTGATTTCAATTTAGTTTCGACAACGTCTACTCATCGGAAAACGAAAGCGATAAAATCGACCCGAAAATCAATTCTCACATTATTATAGTATAAAATAGGATAAAGCTTTTTTTTTTATAAGAAAAAATACCTGAACTGTTACTTGTAACTGATACAAATATTTAATAAAATCTTCTAGAAGATCTTCCAAGACCGGTAGAATATTTGCTGACAAGTAGCTTTTTAATAAAAAATTTTAGAAGATCTTCCAAGACCAGTAGAATATTTGCTGAAAGTAGTTTTAAATAAAAATTTTTAGAATATCTTCCAGGACCAGTAGAATATTTGCTGACAAGTAGCTTTTTCAGTAAAAATTTTTAGAATGTTTTCCAAGACCAGTAGAATATTTGTTGATAAGTAGTTTTTAATAAAAAATTTTAGAATATCTTCCAGGACCAGTAGAATATTTGTTGACAAGTAGTTTTTTTAGTAAACATTTTTTAGAATATCTTCCAAGACCGGTAGAATATTTGTTGATAAGTAGTTTTTTAATAAAAATTTTTAGAAAATCTTCCAAGACCAGTAGAATCTTTGTTGACAAGTAGTTTTTTAATAAACATTTTTAGAATATTTTCCAAGACCAGTAGAATCTTTGTTGACAGGTAGTTTTTTAATAAACATTTTTAGAAAATCTTCCAAGACCAGTAGAATCTTTGTTGACAAGTAGTTTTTTTAGTAAACATTTTTTAGAATATCTTCCAAGACCAGTAGAATCTTTGTTGACAAGTAGTTTTTTAATAAAAATTCTTAGAATATCTTCCAAGACCGGTAGAATATTTGTTGGCAAGTAGTTTTTTAAAAAACATTTTTAGAATATCTTTCAAGACCGGTAGGATATTTGTTAACAAGTAGTTTTTTAATAAAAAAGTTTTAGAATATCTTCCAAAATCATTAGAATATTTGTTGACAAGTATTTTTTGAATAAAAATTTTTAGAAGATCTCCCTAGACCGGTAGAATGCTTGTTGACAAGTAGTTTTTATAACTATATTCTAAAACGTCCTTTTTGTTTTTAATAAGAATTCATTCCAGTGCTCAAAATATTTTCTTAATGAACACAATGTGTATTTAATTCCCACCATTAAAGCATAATTATCGAATAATTTAAATTTATGACATGCATATATGAGATAATCATACATAGAAAACAAGAAAAGAGCACGGAAAACCAAAAAAAAAAATTTAATCGATAATTTAAAAAACGAAAATAATAAATTTAAATTAATGGAAATAGTTAGTGAAAAATTATTAATTAGTTAAAAATAAAGAGAAATTAGTCACGAATATATTTTTAATATAATAGCCACAAAATAACCTCTTTTTCCACTTGCGTAGTTTTATCCACACGAAAAAAGCGCTTTCTGATATTGTATATAAGCCACCAAAGCAAAATATGTTTTTTTTTTAAAAATAATGCTGCTTTATATTTGAGAAAGATTAATATTTTGTAATATTTAATTTGTTAGGAACTTCGAGTTCATCGGGGGAGGGGGGAATGTTAATATTTATTCCTCATTCTCACAGATGGCGCACTGAGAAATGATGTAAAAATTAACTAAAGTTCAGATTCCAATTAAACACTGTAACGACAACACCATTCTTTGTAATTGCTATTATATATATTTTTCTGTTATAAGGCGTTTTGCTGTAAATTATGCAACTCACTTGTATGAACTCACAAATAAAAACCATTGAGCCCAAGATTATCGTATTTCGCATGGAACACCAAAGAATGAACCGGTTAAATATATACATCAAGATCTAAGAATATTTTAAATTTCTACGAACGAATTTGTCATGAAATTATGAATTGAAAAGAAAGTATTGCAGCAACTTTTTGCTTTTAAAAAAAATACAAAAAAATAACCACAACGATTTTTTTAGCTTATTACAACCTGAAGACAAAGTTATCAGAAATATGTTGTCCAATTTTATTATACAACTAATATTCTAAGTTATAAGCGGAAATTACATTACACAAGTGCCGGATATTGATATATGCCGGATTACATGAGGATGCAGTCCGGCATATTTTAATCAAATAACGTGATCAAAAAGTGATGAAATAGCGATTGCTGTGTTATTGGGCAGATCAAGCAACATTGCTATGAACAGAAGAGAGCAATAAAATACTAAAACTAAAATATTGAAAGAGAGAACTAATCGCAAGCGAGCATCCGAGTGGATAAGAAAGGCGAATTTTAATTATATTCTGGTCAGGGTAGTGGTGGCTCAGGGGATAGAGCACTCGCCTCCCAATGAGGTGACCCGGCTTTGAATCCCAGCGATAGTTGGTAGATAGGAATTCGGCATCATCGATCGTACCGCTGGCATCGATACAGTGAGGACGTAAAATATCCTCAATGGTAGACGGATCATGGGTTAGAGTCCCCTTGCCTCCAGGCTAACCGAGGGAGGTTTTCGTAGCTTTCTTCTACATGTAACGCAAAGGTGGTTTAATTTCCTCAAAACGCAGTCCACGGAGCC